GAAAAGAACACATTCATATCAACAGTCTGTACCTGAGACCATATTAATCTTCTCTGGCATGGACTTCCACCGACTTCACCCACTGAGCTCTGATCTGAAACGGACTCTGATACAGAAAGTGGGCAAAGAATCATGACTTTTTGGGGGTGGCTGCTCTCAGCCTCCTGATCATCCATTCTTGATTTCTTAATTTACAGATTAAGCAATAGTCAATTTATCTTGCCCCTAGACACACATCTCTTAACCATCTTCATAACTCGCTATGTGTTAGACTCCTCTGAGGGCCACTCTGCCCTTTCCTTTATGATAATTGTACCCACTTTACTTCTGATGACTGTAGTCCTACCACCTGGCCTCTATTACTTTCGGATCCTATCATCCCCCTGGATATCAGGTAGCGAAGTCTTATAATGACAGAGCTTACTGCTGAAGCCCTGGCCTGCAGAAGATAGTCACCACGGAGTTTCTCAATGATTCTGGTGGGTGCCGCTTTTACCAGCATGTTCCTTATCACTTTAGAAAATGGATTCTTCTGCAGAGCATAGGCAGCAAGTGGGTTTTTCAGACTTTTATAAAACATCCACTCTAGAATACACATATCTCTGAGCCTTTTAATCCTTTATTGTCTCCCAAAGCAGTCTGAATTTTCTATTTCACTTTTTCAAAGCTTCCTCAAAAACCATTCCTATAGCAAATTAACACTATTCCCCAGAGTCTTAAATCCTGCTATAGAGAAGGTTCTCATAACCATAAATTCTTCTTTATCCAACATTTTTATCACACCCCCATTAATTTCACGTCCTTAGGATCCAGTCCCATATATATTCTCCCAGCTCCTGCCAATACATGTTGGCTAGATCCTGCAGCTCCTTGGCATATGGCCCATTTCCTCCCTGAGCAGCTATGGAAAGTGCTAGGCTATACTGTTACTTGACCCCAGTAATTAGTCTGATGACCAGAAGGCAAGATGGGGTTGATTATGGGGAGCAAGTTCATGTTGTCTAATAAGGTAAAGGTCTATGCATCATCTTCAAGAAGAGGAGGGTAAGTGGCCTTTCACAGGAAGGAAAAGTTTCCTTCCTCAGGCCCAGAGGGTCCAGGGGAATCTGAGGATTCCAGATTTTCAAGTTCATCAACTCAGATGAGATATCCCCATCTCAAATTTCAGGGTCCCACTCCTCCCCATTCATGACCCTAACCTTGGTATAACAGATTTGGCATGGCTGAGAATTCACTCTTCTATGGAGTTTTGCTACTATTTATAAAGTCCTGGACCCAATCTTCAACTCTTCCTTCCATCTGGCTGCAGGATGTGAGAGTCTGCTTACATGCTGCCAAGAAGGTCCTCTGGCTTTCACATTTCATCTCGAACTGAAGGTTAATTGCCCTCAATATTTCATTAGGTTTTTTTTCTCCAATGCTTCAGTAGCAGACAGCAAGCGCCATTTGATTCCATGGTCCTTATAAGTACTACTTCGCCCAAACATCTCAAAGAACTGAGTTATTATGCCTTGTGTTCCTTCCACTAGAGCCCTATCCCAGTTCGTTACCAGTGCAGCTTGCCAGGCTCTATCCAAACTCCACCTACTGCCAGTGATGGGATCCTTGTTGCTGGCCGGCCAGTGGGCATCGTTGCTAGGACAACTTGGGCACCAACTTTCCTAGATGGGACTGCATAGGAAATAGATTCTGGGGCAGAGATTTGTATGCAGGAGGCTTATTGGAGCATACCTTCAGAAACAATGCCTGTCAGGAAGTGAAAGAACTCACTGCTGGCCATTCCTTCCATCTCGCCTCAAATCCAACATGTCCAAAACAAAATTCCTTTTTTTTTTTTAAGTTTTTATTTATTCATTTATTTAAGTAATCTTTTAGCCAACACGGGGGCTTGAACTCACAAGCCCAAGATCAAGCGTCACATGTTTTTCTGACTGAGCCAGCCAGGCAACCCAAAACAAAATTCCTTAATGTAACATTCAAGCACCATCACAATCTGGTCCCTATCTAATTGGGCTATTGCCCCTCTACATTCACGGACATTCTGCCTTTTCCACTGGTTATTTTCGAGATACACATACTCTTCTTTCTGACTGGGATGCTCTGTTTAGCCTTCTCCGTTTACCAGCATCAAGTCATTGTCCAAATCACAACTTGCGTATCTCTTTATTTAAGAAATCTTTCCAGGGTGCCTGGGTGGCTCAGTCGTTAAGCGTCTGCCTTCGGCTCAGGTCATGGTCCCAGGGTCGTGGGATCGAGCCCCGCATCGGGCTCTCTGCCTGGTGAGAAGCCTGCTTCTCCCTCTCCCACTCCCCCTGCTTGTGTTCCCTCTCTCGCTGTGTCTCTCTGTCAAATGAATAAATTTAAAAAATCTTAAAAAAAGAAATCTTTCTTAACACTACCGTCAGAATTAATCTCTTCCACCAGGCTTTGTTTATACCTCCAACAAAGCAGTTACCATAGTCTGCCCTGTATTATGGTTATTGAATTTGTATCTTTCTTTCTCCCTAAGTTGTGAACTCTCTCAGGATTTGCTCTGTCAAGTAGTTTCACTCATCTTTAGACATTCACTGTCTAGCTCAGTCTCTTGCCTGTGGTAGGATTTTTATTAGCTAGGGTAGATATTCAGTTGCTGTAACAAAGACCAAGGTAATATTGGCTCAAACAAGATAGAAAAAAAGTCTATTTCTATCTCTCTCACACAGGGACATAGGGTTCCTTGTAGCTTATAACTCTGTCACCACTTGAGTGTTGGCCTCATCTGTATGTACTGAAGAGCCCCACAAGATAGCTGCTGAGTGAGAAAGAGAAGGGAGAGAATGAGAGAGAAGGTAGAGAATCAGAGACTCCTTTTAAGTTGGCATTATCGCTAGATGTCCCCAGCTGACTGGGGTCCATTTCTCTCTCAATAAGATGGCCTTTCCTCCCTCAGTGAGGACTTCTTCAAAGTCACTTTGGCCATACAGTGGGATTCACATGTCCTATTTGTGTCAGAAATAAGAAACAACTCAGGACTATCACAGCCAATAATAATTCCAAGTAACTAGGCACCCCATCTATTAAGGGTTTTCTCTCTTTCAAATTATTTGCCCAAAACTTCTAGAGTAGCTGTGTTTTCCCTTCTATTTAAGGGAAAAAGAAGACAGAGAACTGGAAGAAGGACTCACAGAAAAGACTTAAGGGTAAACTGTTGTCGTCCTTGCTTATACTATATTCTCTGTATTAACCAAATTTAAAGACTAGATTTATTAGTGGGACTAGATGATGTCCAATGTCCCCTCCATAATTCATTCATGTCCCCTTCCCTGTCTCTCTCCCTCCTTCTCCCTCTCTTGTGCTCATTAATTAAAAAAAAACAACAACCTGGTAGCCCTAATTATTATAAAAGTTTTGCATATTTCTTAAAATTAAGCATACCCCAAAATTGGAACCAACCCAAATATCCACCAGAAGAGAACAAATAAACAAACTGGTCTATTCACACAGTGGAATCCTAGGCAACAGAGAAAGGATCAAATTACTGGTACACACAACAAGGAAAAATCTCAAATTCATTATGCTGCACAAAAGCAAATAGACACAAAAGAGTACATTTTGTATGATCCCATTTGTAATAAGCTGTAGAACTGGCAGAACTAACCCATAGTGATAGAAAGCAGAAAAGTGGTTGCATGGGCCTGAAGGGAAGGGGGTTGACTAATCAGAGGCATGAGGAAACTTTTGGCTTTTATTTTTTTTTATTATGGCAAAATACATACAACATAAAATTTACCATTTAAATCATTTTTTTTATTTTAAAGATTTTATTTATTTATTTATTTGAGAGAGAGAGCAGGGAGGAAGGCCAGAGGACGAGGGAGAGAGAGAATCTCAAGCAGACTCTACGCTGAGCATGGAGCCCAATGCAGGTTTGATCTCACAACCCTGAGATCACCAGCTGAGCCAAAATCAAGAGTCGGACACTTAACCAACTGAGACGCCCAGGTGCCCCCATTTAAACCATTTGTAAGTGTACAGTTCTGTGGCATTAAGTACATCCACATTGTTGTGCAACCATCACCATCTTCAGCTTCCCCAACGGAAATTCCATACCCATTAAATACTAACTCCTGGGGCACCTGGGTGGGTTAGTTGGTTAAGCATCTGCCTTCAGCTCAGGTCATGATCCCAGGGTCCTCACCAGGGAGCCTACTTCTCCCTCTGCCTCTGCCCCTCTCTCTGTCTCTCTCTCACTTGCTCTCTCTCTCAAATAAATAAAATCTTTAAAAAAAGAGGGGCACCTGGGTGGCTCAGTTGGCTAAGCATCTGCCTTTGGCTCAGGTCATGATCCCAGGGTCCTGGGAGGGAGCCCCATGTCGGGCTCCCTGCTCAGTGGGGAGCCTGCTTCTCCCTCTCCCTCTGCCCCCCAACTTGTTCTTGCTCTCTCTAGTGCTCTCTGTCAAATAAATAAATAAAATCTTTAAAAAAAGAGAGAGACGTTATCTTGCAGGTTTGATAGCACATATGCTAAAAGAAAAGGTAGAAATAGGTAAGATTAGAATCTTGAGTTATATGGTGATATAAAGGCTGCCATGAAAAATTCCAGGTGAACTAAAAAAGGGATTGAGCAACATTTTAATTTTCTGTTCCCACTTAAGTCACCCTTATGTGCTGGACACTGTTACAAATAATTCCCTTAAGGATATAATTGAGGTGGAATAGCATGAATTTGTGATGGATGTAATCGTCTGCCTGTCTGGGGGGAATTTTTTCTATTATTTCACCGCCTGTCTTTTTCCACTTCATTGTATTCAAGCTCACCTTCTTTATCATTAGTGTTGGTAGTCACAAGAATGTTTTCCCATGACTTGGTCTTGGCAGGAAAACACCATTAGATGAATAGATGGTTGGATAGCAGCTCTCTTCTTCTCCTGCTTGAACTCTTGCTTACCAGGAATATAGGGCTCTACCTGCAAAGGCAGAGGTTGAAAGACATTGGGAAAGAGGCTACTGAAACATAATAAGTTATCTTTATCACCCAGGTGAGATTTCGATGGAGAAAGTGAAGGTAAAACGTTATGTGTCGGGAAAGAGGCCAGACTATGCCCCTATGGAGTCCTCAGATGAGGAGGATGAAGAATTTCAGTTCATCAAGAAAGCCAAAGAACAAGAAGCAGAGCCTGAGGAACAGGAGGAGGATTCATCCAGTGACCCTCGACTGCGGCGTTTGCAGAACCGTATTAGTGAAGATGTGGAAGAGAGGTAATGACTAGGGTTATGTTTCCCTGGACCTAAACCCCCACAGGTTAGTTAATAACAACAATAACAGCTAATATTTGCACAGTACTCACTATGTGCCAGTCTCTGTTCCAAGTATTTACTAATTCTTGTAATCCACCCAATAACCTTATGAGGTATGTATTATTATCCCAGTTTACAAATGAGGAAACTGAGGCACCAAGGGATCAGGAAAATAACATGACCAAAGGTATACAACCAGCAAGTGGCGGCCAGTAAACAGCAGGTTACCTCTGGTCCAAAGACCCTAACTAACTCACTAAGGGAAAAGAAAACACAAACCATTGGTTGGTTTGTTGGGGGGTGGGGGGGGGTCTTAAAATTTGAGAAATTGATTTAATTCACTCACTTATCCTAAAGGCTAATGAGGGGAAATGACACCAATGAAGTAGGAAAAAAGGCCTGATGAATGAATGGTCTCAGGTAGGAAAGGGAGCCTCCCAATGAAGGATTTCGTATGTTGTGTGTTGACTGAGACATTACCTTACAAAGTAGACCAGAGATCCCAAACTTTAACAGTTCATATTGTCCCAGGAATTTTCTCAGGGAGCCCCTAGGCCTATACAGTTCTGTTTATTAAGTAGTTAGATCCAAATAATTCAATAAATAGTCATGTCTTAACATTTAAAGCCATCTGAAAAATATAATATGCATAAAAGAAAAAACATTTTTATTTCATTCTTACATAACCATAATTACTTATTAGTGGGATTTGTGTGCCTCTTGGACACTGACTACTTCTCAAACCTTAGAATCAGATTGGCACTGTCACTCATTTCCTGTTCCATATTGATCTGCATGCAGTACTTGCTTTTTATACAGCCACCAAAAATCCAATTTCACAAAGATACAATGTCACTGTGCACCCATGTTTATTGCAGTGCCTCATGATGCCTCAGCTTACATTTAACGTTTTAGGTCCAACTTGACTATTTGCCCTGACACTTTGAATTATTTTCTTTTGTCTGCACCTCAGTTTCTCCCTCTCAAGACTTCAGTATTAATAAAAGCAAACATAACCTCCAGGTGCTCTACAACTAAGGAAATGTGGCTGATGCTCTTTCATTTTTGTGATATTGGTGTTAAACTTGAAGATGCTGTTTTTCAGATTGGCTCGACATCGGAAAATAGTGGAACCTGAAGTGGTAGGAGAAAGTGACTCAGAAGTGGAAGGAGATGCGTGGCGCATGGAACGAGAAGATAGCAGTGAAGAAGAAGAGGAAGAAATTGATGATGAGGTATAAAAAAGGAAAATGGGAAGTTCTTTCTAGGCCCAAGAAAAAGTTGGGGCCTGTTCTCCTTTGTTGAGGTCCCAAAGGCAACAAGCTTGCTGCTTTTGGCAGAACTCTGATCCAGGGTTCCCTATTTGTTGGAGATAGAATTGAAAAAAAATGATGTAAGTTGTATTTACTCATATCAGAATTTGTTAAATGTGATGAGGGGAAATAAAAAGCTTCCTTAGAGCACAGGTCATTGGGCTGACTGACTTGGACATGTGACTTGATAGGAAATAGAGCGGCGCCGTGGCATGATGCGTCAGCGAGCACAGGAGAGAAAAAATGAAGAGATGGAAGTCATGGAGGTGGAAGATGAGGGACGTTCTGGGGAAGAGTCAGAATCAGAATCTGAGTATGAAGAATACACAGACAGTGAAGATGAGATGGAGCCTCGCCTTAAACCTGTCTTCATTCGAAAGTAAGTATCTCACAAAACAGGCCTGAATCCACATAGTTACTACTTTCCTGGTCTGAGGATAGAAGCCTCTTTTCTATCTCATGCTCTTCTGAAATGTCAGCACTGAGTGAAAGTCTTCTGCCCAATTCCCTACCTGTGCAGAATATTTGCTGAGGAATATCATGGTGTTAACAGAGAGCCTGAGTTTGTTTTCACATCTCCCTTTCCAGTTAAAGAGCACATAATCTGCCCACGGGCCTATAAAGCACAAAATTAAACTTGAAGAGTGAATTCCTAATCCTTTCCTAAGGGCGAGAAATCCTACTACTTACAGTCCAGTCCAGCAGGTTCTTGCTATTCAGGCAGTTCTCAGATGGATGGAGTTTTAATGCTCTGAATACCTGGGGTGACTCCCAATTTTGGCTCTTTGCAAAAAAAAAAGAGCCAGCAATTGTTGGGCTTTGTCTGATTTGGATGGGACTTGAGTTAGAGGACAAAGAGGTCCACTCTGAGGGCTTTGGGCAATTAACAGGACTTCTGTGCTGCAGGAAGGACCGAGTAACAGTTCAAGAACGTGAGGCTGAAGCATTGAAACAGAAGGAGCTGGAGCAGGAAGCAAAACGCATGGCTGAAGAGAGGCGCAAGTATACACTCAAGGTACTGGGAGTGGCTGTGAGGATTGCATGCAAGGAGGAGTGTACTTAGGTTTGTCTGAGGAAAATAAGGAAATCCAACAGGTGAATTGTTCTCCTTACCCAGATTGTAGAAGAGGAGACCAAGAAAGAGCTGGAGGAGAACAAGCGATCCCTGGCTGCACTGGATGCTCTCAATACTGATGATGAAAATGATGAGGAAGAATATGAGGCATGGAAAGTCCGGGAGCTAAAGAGAATCAAGAGGGACAGAGAAGATCGAGAAGCGTGAGTAATAAGATGGACCTAGAGTTTAATATCAGTAATGGGATGGGTTCCTAGTGGGGTAGGAGTGAGGTTCAACACCAACTGTGAGTTCCATTCCAGATTTCTTTATGGTTCCTGCAGCTGAGTGAGTTTTCCATAATTGGAATGTGGCTTATTACAATGAAATCAGGGAAAAGAAACACTTTGTCAGTGTTTCTCTGTGATAGAGTGCCAGCTGATACTCCCTGTAGTTTTCTAGTAGACACGCAGACATTATTCACTGTTATCAGTTATCTGTTCTTGCATAAAAACCCAGTTCAAAATTTGGTGACTTGAAACAACTGATTATTCCTCACAGTGTTCGAGTTCGCTAAGCAGTTCCTCTGCTAGTTTTACCTAGGCTCTCTCATGCAGTTGCATCCAGCTAGAGGATTGGCTGGGCTAGAGTGTCCAAAATGGGTTCATTCACATGTCCAGTAGTTAATGCTAGACTGCCTTACTTCTTCAGTGGGCTAGACTGGATTTCTTACCTAACAGTCTCATGGCAGTATTCCAAGAGGGCAAAAGTGGAAACTGGCAAGGTCTTTTAAGGCTCACATGTCATTTCTGCAAAGGGGCATGCATACTCTGGGGGGGAGAATTTGTGGCCTTTAAATAATCTGCCACAGTCACTATTGTTAGAGCAGAATAATTTCTGAGCTGCATCACCCATTCTTGAAAATTACTAGCAGTGAGAGGGTAATCCCAGATTACAAAGGGAAACCATCAGTAGAAAACTCTGTCCTCAGCCTGCATTTTCTAAGATTTTTATACTGGGTTTCAAGGAGTCCATGTACCCTTTAAAATTATATACAAAATTACATATATTTGTATTTTTCTGGAGAAAGGGGATCTTTGGCCCCCCTCCCCCAAAAAGGGTTAGTCCCTGCAATCTAATTAATGATGGTAACCCTTGGTTTGAGACATGTAAATACATATACAATTACTTTAAAAAATACCAATAAAATCTTAACATGGTTATGTTAAATTCTGATATTTTTTAAAGCCAAGTAGGCTTTTTAAGGAAGGGGAATTACTAATATTGCAAAATCAAGCAGTAATAGTATGTCTGAACCTTATAAAGGCTAGAATAAACTTCTGGAAGTTTGCAATAATGAAGACCACCTCACCTTTTTTATTTGTTGGGCTCCTGATCTTAATTCCTAACAGGCAGTAGCTAGAATTAAAGAAAGTGAATAATGCTTGAAAGGAGGTGAGACTGCATTGTGTTCAGATAATTTGAGTCTCTCTGAAGCTGGAATGATACTAATAAATAATTTTGTTCTCTGCACAGGCTTGAGAAGGAGAAGGCAGAAATTGAACGAATGCGAAACCTGACTGAGGAAGAGAGGCGAGCTGAGCTTCGGGCAAATGGCAAAGTCATTACCAACAAAGCTGTTAAGGGCAAATATAAGTTCTTACAGAAGTATTATCACCGGGGTGCCTTCTTCATGGTAAGTGAAAAGGGAATGAGCTGTAGAAGTAACTCAGAACTTTTGAGTTCTTTTCTCCCCCCAAGTATAAACTGTCCTAGGATGTTACTTCTACTTGCCAATGATCAGTTTTCTCATTTGCTTTTTGCCTCTGAAGATATAAACCCAATAGGAAAAAGCACTGGCAACAGGATTTTACCAGTAGCAGCAACTGTTCTCTCTTTTGGCCCCAGCTATCAGGAGGAAATGGTGTAACAGAAGAACTAAGGAACTAAAAATAGACAGTGAACTGTACAGATAGATAAGATTATTTAAATCCCCAAAATTAACTAGATGTTACTCTTCATAGCAGAGTAAGAAGTTTTGCTTATGCAAATATTTGGGAGGCAGAAATTTAATTCACTTCATTCTGAGCTGACAGAAAGTGACTAAGCCTAACTAACCAATAAAAATGGTTTATTATCTAACCATTATGTGTAATACCATCAAAATTTTGTTCTTCATATAAAGACCAAGGTCAAAATAACAATCTGTTAACCCTGTATAAAGTGATGAGGACTTCTTCCAAATTATATAGATGATACCAGTGATAATTTGTTAATGGAGCGATGTCAGGAAAGGGAAGCAAAGAATTGATTGCATTTATTACTGTAATAGCATGTGGTTTGTTAAATTACTACCTGATGCTATCCAAGTTTGAATCAAAAAGTAGACTCATTTTTTTCAAATGCTATATCAAACCCTAAAAATCCCTACTGCAGCTAGATTCCTGCCTTTCATTGTAGATACCAGTAAAATCTAAACTTCAGTGAAGGGTTCCTTATTCCCCTCCAAAATCAGTTTCAGTCTACTCAGCCGGAAATGTTTGCTTATTATATAGTGTCCTAGCTCATGCAGTTTTCTAGATTGGAGTCATTGGAGATTATGAATTATTTCTTTACTGCTTTAAGGTCATTAAGTATCATTGCTTATACATTTGAGCAGCTTTAATAAGCTTCTGAGAGAAGCAGTGCATTGCTGGCTAAGATACATAAGGAAAGGTTTATGTAAAAGTCTTTTGGTGCACATACTCAGTGAACTCTCCTCATCTGGATAAGGAGAGTGAAGATAAAATACCTTCTGAGATTAAATGAGGGACTCAGCCTCTAACAAGGAGAAAAGTAGATCTCACAAAAACTGTCTTACCTTTAAAGCCTTTCTGTAGCTGAAGAGAATACTCCAAAAGTGTATTTGGTTGAAGGACTCAGCTGTTCCACAAAGCTTTCCTTAATCAAAATGGTACTGTTTTAATCCCTTTACCACATGTATAATTTGTATCATAACATTATAGTTTTACTAGTATGTTGATTTGTAACTTCTCTATAATTTTTTTATATATAGTCTATTAAGTAAATAACCTTTTGAGCATTTACTGTGTAGAGGGCACTCCTGGTTTTTGTTTTGAGGGGGGTGGTTTAAAGATTTATTTATTTATTTTAGAGAGAGAAAGCATGAGCAGGAGGGGCAGAGGGAGA